CTGACTTGTGCTAGCCTAGAGCAACTCAGATATATAATTATATATTGTTTGGTTGACTTATACGAATATAAATCTTACTTTTCTTGTTTTCTGCCTAAAATCGTTTTTTTCGTTTTATTCCTTTCATGATTATTTTTCGAAGATAATACTTTAGCACAATGTTAGCACAACTTAGCACAACCTAGCACAATAAAAAAAATTTCGAAAATCAAAAAGTGGGGGGCTACCAAAAAAAACGGTTTTTTCCATTTTTCTCGCTCATTTTTCGTATTAAAAATTTATAATTCAAGCACAATGTAGCACAAACCTAGCACAAATCAGCACAACTGTCAAAATTAATAAATTCGAAAAGTGGGGGGCTAACTTCATACAGGCCAATTTCGACTATTTTCGATTGATCATTTATAACGACACAAAGCGCTGTTTCTAAATTTCACTGTTACTTGAAATCTGTACTCTAATTCGTTCAAACATAAACCTTAACATATAAATATAAACAATGGCTCATCTACTCAATACGAAACATCTGTCGAGTTGATGATAATTCTCTATGAAAGAGTAGGAAAGCGGAGCGCGCTGTATATCTGCCCGACGCATGATCTTCAAGCTATAACTCGAAAAGTATTTTGAATTTCGGTTTAAAACTTTAAGGGTATTCTAAGGTAGTACTACTATCGATTAAGGTGACTTTTGAAAATTCGATTTTTTGAGCGTTATAAACCAGGTTCCCCTCTTAATGTAAAACGCAGTATCGTTTGTTGTTACTGCGGTTGACGCGGGGTTTTCGAAAAGATTTCGGAAAGCGACATGGATGAAGCACGGCTAGCAACGATGATTTTTGTGCTGTCTCGCGTTGGCAATTTTTTGCCTATTGAGTAAAAATCGCTCGTGTGTGAATCCGAGTCGAAATTTTGGCCCTATTAAACCTTGAATTCTTTGCTAGTAGGAACTAAGCAAAGTAGATTTTAGCAAAATAAATTTAATTCTAATGATACAGTTTACTTTGACTCTGATAATGTTCAAAATTTTCCTTTTTATCTGGTGAGAATTCTTGTGTAAAAATTATTATAGGATTTTGTAAACGAGCAATAGAGAAACATTTTCAATGATTCACTATCCTTTCATCTTACATATTATTTATATTTGAAAAACTGAAATCTACTATCAAAATACTTGCTATCTCCAGTCGAAATTTCAGCTCTACTTTCGTGAACTTCCTAATATCTATATATTTTGAAGGATCAGTATATGTTTAATATATAATACGTAGTTAGTGAGTGAAATAAAACGAAAAGAGAGATTGACGTAGACTTTGGAGTATCAAAATAGTTAAATAAAATATATTGAAGCTGAAAGTAGGATCGAAGTTACTCGGATTTTTAGCGAAATTTGTTATATAGCAAGGGATAGATATTACTCACTGTCTATTGCTGGACTACCAGAAACATAGTAAAATTGAAAAAAATTACTATGTGAAGAAAACCATAATATTTCTTTTGTATACGTGCGCAAACACACACACACACACACACACATACAAATACGACGCGAACGAACGTTAAAAACGCATTTTTCCAAACACGGTTTGATTTGTCAAAAATTCATTCTGCGAGCTTACAAGTTTCGCAAATGCTGCAGGTGTCGATCTGACACGTGTCGACTACGAATGGCCGCGCGCCCCGGGAAACCATTAAAACGCTGCTAGCTCCGACGCTCATATTTTTTTTCTTTCTTTCCATACTTTTCTTTTTTCTCCTCCTATCCCACGTGTATTCGGTTCGTCCGTTGAGTTTTCAGGAGGTAGGTTGTTCCCTTAAATATAGCTTAGCGCGCGCGGCAGGCATCCTCTTCGCAGCCTCTTCGTGGGAGTAAGAGGAATGCATAATAGATCCATACATACACTCACGTTTCGTTGTTCTTTCCCCTTCCCTGCTCTCTTCCCGTCCGTTCTTCCTCGTACTTCTGCGGAAAATTTGAATTTCTAATTAAGCCCGTGTGCAAGTACGAGTAAAGCTTCATCAATCGCCGTTCGTGTGTTCACGTCGCAACTTCGTCTTGCAACTTCTGGCGAATTTGCTTAGCGATCGCGTTCTCGCAAAAATTTTACATTTTCCGATTAATATAAAGATTATTTCAATTGAAAGAATATGCTGCGACCGTAAAGTTACGAAAAGGAAAAGATCTTTCGCTGCTATTTTCAAAGTAATCCTCTCCCACATGTCCACAAACACATCCATCATCACGAACTCATCGGCACGAGTAATCTGCGTTTGCTCGATCGGTAAGGTTGCGAGATAAAAGGAGATCCAAGGTTGTTTAACCGTAAGTGAAAGCCGCGGGCCTCTGGAATCTCGTGTCTACGTCAGTAAGACGTAGATGCGTTGCGCTCTCGATATCACATTGTGCTGTTCGACAACGCGTACGTCCGCGTGTTTCCCAAGCAACGTCGTCGTCGCGATCCTCGCGACAGGGCCATTAGGGTTTCACGTGACATCGAGTACTCGTGCCTGTAAGTGTTGTATTTCGTAAGTGCTCTTCACATTCGCCTCTTTGACAGGAAAAGCGATCCCAGCGACAACCGTTGGCTTTGAAGTCGACTCGGACGCGTTAGCAACCGCTACGATAACGACACGTTCCACGTCATGTAAAGATAATTAGTTATCGTACATTGATGTCGAAATAATATTTCGTACTTGTGATATAGTTTAGTGTGTGAAAGTGCTTATTAAGTAAAAGCGCATGCAGGAATTGGATTTTCCGGCAGAGTTTTTCCCCGAATCGAAATTTTAGCTTTATCTGAATTTTCCAATATCTGTATATTCTGAAGAGGCAATGTATGTTTAATACACATGGAAAGTGATGTCCTACTTAGCGCCTTTAAACGACAGAAAACATATTAAATGCCACTTGTAAGTTCTAAAGATGATTTTTCCACAAAATTAGTTATGTAACAGAATCAAAACAAGTTAATATAGATTTTAAAGTATCAAAGTAGGTATTAAATGGAATATTGAGGTCGAAAGAGTAGGATGAAAATGAGTCACTGTTTACTTGGGTCACTGTTTCATTGAGAATACATGATGAAACAAACTGAATCAAAATTTTCATCTTATCTTTGACCTCATTTCATTTACTATTTTAACATTCCATTTATTATTTTGATATTCAATTTCCGCTGTTTAGAGGCCAAGTAGGACTTCAGTTCCTATATGTATTCCTCAGTCGAAATTTTAATCCTACTTTTGACCCCAATATTGCAGTTAACGTTTGTCAAAATCAATTTTGGAAAGAAGCGCTAAGCAAAATTTCAGTTTTCATGTATATTAAATCTGATCCTTTCTTGAAAATAGATCTAAAATTTCGACTCAAGCTGGTATGGTGCAAAACCATATTCGACATATCCGACGTGCCAATGAGAATACACGAGTTCCACTAGGCGTGATTCAAGCGCCTTCAGAGAAGGCGCATGAGGCGGGACGCAAAAACCTTAATTGCCTCGTCGTATATCGGAACGCGATTTCCCGCCTTCTGCCGACGTCGTGATCTCATATAAGCGCGGAGACGGTGCTCTAGTTCTCTCTCTCTCTCTCTCTCTCTCTCTCTCTCTCTCTCTCTCTCTCTCCCTGAGTACTTTATAATTTCCAACTAGACCTAACAGATCTAAGAAAGGCATGTCGGGCAATTCCCGAGGTGGAGTCAAGCTCGAAGGAACAAAATGAGAGTTTCCGTGAATGTGTGTGACATTAAGGCCGTAGCCGGCTGCAGCCACCCGGTGGAACGTTAACAGGGCGGCGGATGGGTGGCTAGCTGGCTGGATAGATGGGTGGTTGATGGGCGCACGAGGGGTGAGCCGAGTCGCAACAGGCGCGCAACTGCGCATGGGATGTACATCGCGTAGAAGGAGGAGAGAGAGAGAGAGAGAGAGAGAGAGAGAGAGAGAGAGAGAGAGAGAGAGAGAGAGAGAGAGAGAGAGAGAGAGAGAGAGAGAGAGAGAG